ATGTAAATGCATCAGACAGGCATCCCTCTCTCAGCACAATTCCGATCGCTCAAGAGATTTCAGGGGGGGGATTCTCGCTTCAACGTATCCGTTTACAATTGTCTCTTTCTCTCTCTCTCTCCCTCCCACCTCCGCTTATGTAAATGCGTCAGAGAGGCGTCCCTCTCTCAGCACGGTTCTAGTCGCTCAAAAGGTTTCGGAGGGGGGGATTTACACTTCTATTTACAGTTCGCTCATTTTAACTCACAGTTCATTGTTGGTCTTTATCCTGACCATGCTCATAATCGCTCCTTTGCCAGATCTCCTGCACTTGACTGGGTCGGCACAGTTTGTGCCTCGTTAAGAGGACGCAGACAGCGGGGGGGGACTGTCAGGGCGGAGGGCAGCCTCGATTGCCCTGCAGATAGCAGGAAAAGAGGCTCACCCTCAAAGGCGCTATGGCTTGGGGAGTCTCCCTGACCCCCCGTGGAGGTGCAGATCCAGCGGCACCCCTCCCCTCCGCAGCTGTGTGGTGCACCTTCCAGGAGCAACGGGAAAGGTGTCCGCCATTGTTGTGCCATAGACCCTGCCTCTCTTCTTCAATAACAATTTTGATGCTCTCCAAAAGCAACTGAAAAAAACTACTACAAGAACAGAAGAAACAGCCAAAGCATTGAAAAAAGTTGATGATAAGACAAAAGTGACAAATCAGAGACTGGAGGTGGTGGAAAAAGAGCAGACCTCTGATAAAGAATAGCTGTTATGGTTACAAATGGAAAAATCATCATATGTCCTGAGATTTCAGGGTATCCCAGAGCAAAAAGGGGAGAACTTGATTTTAAGCAAAACTTTAGCTCCAGTGGCAGACCTTACAGTAGAATTTCTACAAAGCGATATGGATGTGGTCTATTGATCATATCCAGACCTTACTAAGAAAAATAAACTGCCTGGTGAAGTATTTGTTAAATTCTCCAAGAGATCAAGAAGGGACATAATCTTGAAAGCAACAAATGGGATAACCCTAAAAGTCAAAGGTGAAGAAATGAGAATTTTAAAAGACATTCCATTTGAGATAAGAAAGAAGAGGAGACAGTATAAAAACCTAACATCCTTTTTACAGAAAAAATCCACTCTCTACAGATGGATAACTCCAGAAGGACTTATCTTCAACTATAAAGAAAAAAAACACACAAAAGATTGACTCTGTTACAAAAGCAATGGCATTTTTGGAAATGCACCAAACAACACCAAAAGAAGGAAAAGCAGAGGACAACAACACAACAGATGAAAACATAGAACACGGACCGAGAAGCAGTGAAAGCTCTTCAGGCAGTCCTTTTGAAGATTCAGACTCCGATAAAGGAGAGGCAGCTTCTAAATTATTGAAAGTTAGATTAATTTACGAGAAAATTAAGCACAGGGGGGAAAATATGATAAATAGCTTAATGCTGAAAATTTGATGTTATTAACAGTTAAAGAGCTAGGATGTACTTACTCTGGCTAATCATTCCTGTACTAGTTTGACCTTGTAATAATAAGTATTAACCTTTATTCCTTAAAGCTTAATTGTGGGGGAAACACCAAGTTTTGGGTACAATTTTTGTACAACTATTACTATATGATCCTTGCATAACTCTGTATTTTAGGACAGATACTCCCTTATTCCCCTACCTTTGTAGTTCGTAGTATAAAAGCAATAAAAACGTATTTTAAAAAATAAACTGGTCTGTTTAAAATTCCACTCGTCTATTCATTGGGGCTTACTCCCAGGAAAGTGACAGGGATTGCACCATTAGTGCTCTAGTTTGTTGTCATTATTGCCTTCCATGTAAAGCATGGATCACAATTTTTAAAAAGTTTTCCGGAACACCACAAATTAACTTGAATGTGCTTTACTCTTTATCTAACACGGTTCTATTCCACAGTAATATTTGCCTTCTTCCCAGTGCCAAGAAGTTCACTCTTTATTCTTTCTTTAAAATACTTGTATGCTGCCTCTTCAGAGATCTAGTTAAGGCAGCTCACAAAATAAAAAATCATAAAAACATAAAATGAATCCATTAAAAATACAACCAATAAAAGCCAAAACACAAAATAGCTTTAAAAAAATATAGCACCCTAAAAGAGGCTTGTTACAGTCCTCAAGTTAGAAGTATATTGTAAAAATAGTTAAAAGAGCAAACACCTAGATGAAAACTTAGATAAAAATAAAAGTTTTCATTGCACCTTTTCTTCAAAGAGCTCAGGGTGGCAAATATAGTTTTCCCTCCCCCTTCCATACTTTATAGAAAGAAAACTCCCTAAAATAAGCTAGACTATCTCAAGTTCATTCAAACTGCATGACCATAGCAAGGATTTTCTGGGTCATTGCTCTCACAAATGCAGCGGCATTCACACCAGCTACAAAGAGTCCACCAGGGAGTTTTGTGCACATTTTCCTCCATCAGTCACCATTTTTTCTTGCATTTTCTTTGCCATGCCACCAGAGGGTATTTTTAAACCAGTAATTGCAAGATTACTATAACTTTATAAAGCTATAGCAATCTATTACCATGATCAACTAGTTCTCTGAATTCTCCGCTTTAATTTAAAAAAAAGTTTCTGGTCCTTAGGCGCACCTCTGCAATGAAAAGGATTAGACATTTAAAAAAAAGAAAGCTGGGAATTCAGAAAAACTAGTAGATGGTAGTAGTAAATTATTATTTGTCCAACAGTCAACCTGGCACAATCTACGGATACTTAAATCCATGGGTCAGGGCCAGGTACAGAGATTTCCCCACAAACTTGGGGGACCCTCCGAGTTCGCAGAAAAAATCTAAAAACTTATCCTAAATGGATAGGGGTAACCCTCTCAAAGGAAACTCTCTGGCTTGTGCAGAACTTCCACCTATGCAGCCATTCCCACCATCACTGCATCTCCTCAGCAGCTTAAGGTAGCAGTGCAGTGATGCTGCAGGTGGGGGAGCTAGTGGCAGAAGCAGTGCTGCAGGAGGAGATGAGGCGGTACCACTGCCACCAGTGGCCCTGACATCACTGCATCCCCTCCTCATCCTCTGTGGTGGTGAGGCAGCATGCAGGGGAGGAGGAACCACCACCTGCCATGTCACCAGAACAGGGGCCATCCCCCATTATGTGCCTGCCCCCACTTCCAGTAAAGGTGCCTTCTGTATCCCTCCCATCACAGTCATGTGAGCAGGGGAACAGTGGCGATGCCAGTAGATGGAGTCCCAAGTAAGTGATGTGTGTGTGGGGGGGTGATGGGGTGGGAGAAGGGAAAGACATTGAAGAGTGACAGTAGGCATTGAGGAAGGAAAAAGAGAGAGAGGAAAAGAGTGACAGTTGGTGTGTGGGAGGAAGAAAGAGAAAGAGTGAGAGAAGGGAGAAAAATAGAGGGCAGGAGAAAAACAGAAAGAGACTGAGAGAAGGGGTGGAAAGAGGGCAAAATGTGAAGGTGGGGGAGGGGAATCAGGTGGCCATTCCTGCAAGTTCTTGCATGTATCCCCTTGTAATTTTACAATACTATAGTGATCTAGCAATTACTGATTAAAACCAAAACCAAAAAGTGCTCTAGTGGCATGGAGAGACTGGCAGCTGCAGGGGAGCCAGGACAAGGTAAATGACAATAACAGAGCAGGAACTTAAAAAATGTGCTCCTTCCCATTTCCATGGCATTCAATTAGTTTTGACTGCAATCCTTTATAAAAGAGTCTATCAAACCAGGACAGTTTCTGCAACATGCAAACCACCACATCGGCATTCTTAAATCATCGATGTTTCTAAAACCTTCCGCACAACTTTTGCCTGTTCCAGGAGTAGCTCCAAATTTACTGCCCTGTTACCCTGTGTTTTTCAGATCCACTTTTCCGACATTTTCTTTTCCTTTCGGGTATTAACTCACAGTTTTCAAGTGTGGAATTCCCAAAATCAAATTTTGTTTCCCGCCACCCTTTTGTGGTGTCAGCCTAGCATGTAACACACACACACATACAGCAGACTTATTAATTTTAAGGCATAATTTTTATCGCATTACGACACTGATTTTTTTAGCACAATGTAACTATAACATAACAATATTGCTGTGTTATAATACTGGGACAAAATGTGCAGTGAGGTTTAATGTAGCCTTCTCTGTGCAACTACCCATCCATGAAGTTCCTTCCCTTTCCTTATTTATTTTATGTGTTCTGTGGGTAAGTTTTGTTGCCTCGCACTTGTATTGTTTCTTCATTCTCCCCCCTTCTTTTCCCCTACAGCCCCCTGTGTGTTTTCAATGACAGTTCAGTGTTTTAAACATCTGAAAATAATGGAATTATATAATTGATTTGGTAATTATGAAAACTAAACATGTGCAGTACTTCCATTTAGTGTACTTTATAATTACTAAATGGTTGTAGTAACACCATGATGAATTGGTGTATACAGTTTGACAATCGCAAATGAAATACTACTTTGCTTAGGATTTTTGTGGGAATCTTTGCTGGCCATTTTGTTAGTTGGCAACTAAGGTGAAGCGGGGGGGGGGACCTTTGAAATGGCGGCAACCTTGCTGTTTCCCACAATTCTTTTGCATGCACGGTTACTAACCGCAGACCAGAGAATCTCAATGTCACAAAACCTTTCCAATGCATTGGCTGGAATTCAATCTTCTGCCAATAATGAACACTGCTGGGAGTGGTGGGAATCCAAATGGCCAATCAACCTTGAGCCTTCCTCCATTCTACATCCAGCCTTTTTTGGGGACAATGTTATGATGTTATAACATTAGTGGGCATGCACAAATTTCATTTTTAAAAGAAGATTCCATAGCTGGCAAAATACATGATGCAATGGCTGCACGACCCCTTTTCAAAGGAAAAGGACGGGTCAGATCTGAATTTTTTTAAAAATGCTCTTTTGCCGAAGGGGTGCTGCAAAGTCACAGCATCAGCTGGGGATTCAACTCGCCAGGAAACAGTAGCAACACTGTGGTGTGGAAAATGTCCAGATTTGGGAAAGATCGAGGCTAAGGAAATTATACTTACATGTCTTTGAATTTTTGCATAAATTCTTCATTTTCCTCATGAAGGTATTTGTTTTCTTTCCGCAAATCAGATATTTTCTGAAGTTTATTCTTCAGTGTTTCTTTCAGTTTCTGCAGATCAGACTGCTGACTGGATTTCTAGGAAACATTAGGGCATATACTAAAACAATATGAAAACCCATTGAATGTGGTATAAAAACATTTTACATATTTTAAACTTACTGAATCTTCCATCTGTTTAAACTCAGTATGAAATCCTTCTAGTAATTCTTTGTTCTCCTTTTCTTGAACAGCAATTTTTGAAGTCAAACGTTTCAACTAAAACATTAAAAAGATAATTGAATTGCCCATTCAACATTTATTCACGTCATTACAACAAACATTAAGTTCACATATTTATATCAGACTTTCTTAAGCCACATTAGTGGGAACGGAAGTTCTTTAGAGAGCAATATGGGCTATGCTGAGAGTAAAGTATTTTTAAGATTATGAAGAAAGCTGAGAAGCAGAAAAGGATTGTCCAAGGAGACAGAGGACCACAGCAGGTAACATAGAAGAGGCCCATTGCTGCCTTTCTGGGGCCTGCGCCGGAGTGCTGTGGCCCCAGGGAGGCCTGAGGAGGCCCGTCGCTGGCTTCCTGGGACCCGCGCCGGAGCGCTGCGGCCCCAGGGAGGCTTGAGGAGGCCCGTTGCTGCCTCCCTGGGCCAGCGACGGAGCGCTGCGGCCCCCGGGAGGCCGGAGGAGGCCCATTGTGCCTTTCCAGGGCCCGCGCCAGAGCGCTGTGGCCCCAGGGAGGCCAGAGGAGGCCCGTCGCCACCTCCCCAGGCCAGCGCCAGAGCGCTGTGGCCCTGGGAAGGCCAGAGGAGGCCTGTTGCCGCCTCCCCGGGCAAGCGCCGGGGCACTGTGGCCCGGGGGAGGCTAGAAGAGGTCCCCCCAGGTCGCCTCCCCGGGCCAGCACCAGAGCGGGGTAAGTGAGGGATCCACGGAGGGGGGTGGCGGAGGCTTGATTGGGGGAGTGGGGGGGGGGGAGAGCCTCCCCCCATCTCTTTGCCCAATTTCTTTCCTTTCCCTTTCTTTTTCTTTCCCTCCTTTTCTTTCTCTCGTTCCCTTCTCTTCCTTCCTTCCGCTCTTTTCCTTCTCCTTTCCTTCTCTCTTTCCTTTTCCTCTTTCCTTCCTTCTTTCCTTCTCTTTCTTTCATTCTTTCCTTCCTTCGTTCCTTCTCTCTACCCTCTCTCTCCTTCCCATTTCCCTCCTTCTGCGGCCCAACTCTAGGGAAGGGAAGGGGAGACTTTTGAAGATGCCTTCCCCCCCTTTTGCTTCCCCTTCTAACATCTCTTCCAGTGATGTAAGGGGGCGTTGTATATGCTAATGAGCTATTATGCTAATAGCCTAGTAGCTCATTAGCGTGCCGTATGTTAACGCGCTCCTGCAGCTCTTTTTCTACGAAAAGACCCCTGATAATAGTACTGCATACTGTGACTGCAAATCCAGCAAACTCCCTTCACCACTTCCTGGGGTACAGATGACTGCTCGTGGAGTTTTGATCAACACGATCAAAGTCCTTGTGGATTTATGGTGTCATACTGCAACTTGCCTCCTGAAACACTTCCAAAAGGGCATGTTTCTGAACAAGGTAGACCCACTCCCCAAATCAACCTTCAGTAATCTATCTGTCAAGTTAGTCCTCTTCTGATGGAATTGGCCTATCCTCCTGCAAGGTTTTTGGCAACTAAGCTGCCTTGGGTAATTCTGGATTGGGGGCATGCACAAAGTTTTTAAATTTTATTTTCGGTGTAAAAAAGGGCATGTTATGCCAAAATTTTGGGAGCGTTGATACATTCCAGAAACTGTTTTGAGCAGAACTCTCTGGCTTGGCAATTTCAGCACCTGAAAATCATGCCATTAAAAAAAAAACCTACCTGAAATTAAAAAAAATATGTTTGTGTGTGTTCCCCCCCCCCATCACCACAGAGCCAGCAGGAGCAGGGAGGGAGGGAGGAAAAGAGAGGAAGTGTTCTCTGATCCCCAACTCTTTCATGGTGTATGGATCCTTTAAAATCCCAAACTGGTAACAATATCCCCCAAAATAGGGATAACAAAAACAGTGCCCTACTGGGGACTTCCGGTCTACACACTAGCGGACACATCTCCCGGACTTCCGGATGTGATCTGCACACCAGCGGATAGGAGGGGCGGTGGCGGGTTGCTACCCCCCCCCTGGTGCCACCGACTATCCGGTCTTCCTGTTAACCACCTTGTTTTCCCGATCCACTTCTGGTCAGCTGTGCTTGTTCTGAGCCCACTCTAGCACTCCACTTGTCTGCTGCAATCACAGTTCCGGCCAAGACAAAGTCTTTGTAACACGATCCCTCACAGTCTCGCGATGTTGCTCATCAGTTTCAATTTCCCCTTCAACTCTTTAGCTCATAGTAACCACAGGAATGTTCAACAAAGTCAGTTTTTCTTTAAATAAACGCTTTTAAGAACCCTTTTTGATTCCAAAAACGAATGGATTGTTTTTTAAAAGTTATTATGCGCTTCTCCGGTTGCTTCCAACTTCGTTAGAACTCCCATCCAGTAAGCAATAAAGTTTTGTTACCTTGCATGTTTATCTCTGGATCTCGCATTGCGTCTTTTTGCTTCAGATGTCCCCTTGGTGTTAAGAAATCGGGTAATGACGGATTTATGCTGAGTCTTCAGCTCGGCTAGCCACTGTAGTGCTGGGTTGCGAATGTCCGCTTCGTGAAAGGAGATCAAAGTGCACAGCAAGCCTCCTCCGAGGCTTGAAATGCGCCAACCTCAACTTTCTCTTGGAGCTTATCGCTTGCTGGACATTCCCCCTGCCTGGGGGATGCTGCGTTGGGCAAATAGATGCCCAAACTGTCGAACGTAGCTGCCGTCCACTTTGCCAACTCGCAAAGCGCGTCAATTCACCATTTTACCCGACCGGACGCTCCCTAGCTATGGGACTTTTGAGGGGTGACCTTTTTGACGGCGCAATGCTGGAGAATAGAGGCGCTCCTCCATCCTGACGGTCCTGCCGCTGAGTGTCCAAATGGATCTAGAGCCGCTGACTGGGACAAGCATGGAGATTGAGCGAGTTAACTGGATTTAGAGCATGGCCGAGTGGCCGACAATGAACTGTGAGTCGGGTTAAAGCGAATATGCGAATTTAAAAAGAAAGCTACCCCCCCTCCACGGAGAGACAAAAAGCGAGCGGGGGAGGGGCCCCTCCCAAATGCACGAACGAAAGCACAACATAAAGAGGGGGGAGCGGAAGAAAAAGCATTTAAATCTGTTTTGAGAGACTTACCAGAGCGCAGATAAACATAAGGGCGAACTTCGGAGACTTTGGCAATTTCTCTAAAAGTAAACAATCCATAAAGATGGCGGGGAAGAAAGCAGACAAAGACAAACTTTTAAAAGTGAAACCAGTGGGTAGTCCTCGAGCGGAAGAGACTACTGAGCTCTCGAAAATGTTAGCAGACTGCTTGCGCCCTCTGCTGGACGAGATGACTAACATTAAGCAACAGTTGTCAACAATAAGTCAAAGTATGGTGTTTCAGCAGCTCCAATTGACTGAGTCTTTAAAAATAACGGAGCGAACGGCTGAGAAGGTGAAGGAAATGGATGCCAACACCAAAAAAGTTAAGAAAAAGCTACACATACCAGAAATGAAGCAAGCTGTGGAAAAATCACAACTTTTACAGCTGCAGATGGAGAAAGAAAATCTGGTCCTAAGGTTCCAAAGGGTTTCAGAATCAAAAGGAAAGAATCTGAAGCAATTGTTGAGTGAAGCATTAGCCCCAGTTACAGATTTTAAAGCGGAATATCTTCACAGCGAGATGGACAGGTCCGATTCCTCATGCATTAAGAAGAATAATCTGCCTGGGGAAATAGTAGCCAGATTCTCGAAGAGACATGTGAGAGATTCTATCTTGAAAGCAACTACGGGGACACCCTTGAAAATTGGGGACAATAATATCAGGATTTAAAGAGATATCCCATTTGAAATAAGACAGAAGAGAAAGAAATACAAAGATTTAATCCTTTTTCTACAAACAAATGGCATTGGATACAAATGGCAAATTCCAGAAGGCGTCATTTTCAAACTCCACGATAAAAAAGAAAAGATTGACTCTGTTTTCAAAGCACGTGAGTTCCTGAGAGTACAGCTGGGGGAGCCAGCGGAGGACAAGAAGGAAGAAGAAGAAAGCAAATCTGACGGCGAACTGGGCTCGGCATCTTCTGACGAGGACTCTCTCTCCGAAAAGGGGGTGGCCGCCCCCAAAAGTCCATACAAATTGAGAATTAGAAAAGATTTTTAAAAATAAAGGCTGAAGGACTCTGAATTGTGCCTGAAAAGCATATAATAACTATGGGATGCTCTGGGGGTTTTCTTAAACAGATAGATTGATGGGTAAAAAAATAAATAATTTAGCATAACCGACTATGTTCAAAGTAATAATACTGTTTAAGACTAACATTTATATAAGCTGTTGTTATGATCTCCTATTCTTGGGATTTAGTTATTAGTGGTTTTCTTTCCTTTCTCCATAGTTGTAGTTTCCCTCCCCTAATTTTTGGTTATAATTTGTAGTCTTTTGAAAAAAACCTAATAAAAACCTCCCCTTAGGGGGACTTCAAAAAACAAAACAAAACAGTGCCCTACCCAAAATCTGGCTCAGAAATTAACACAATTTTTTTGAAGTGCACACCCCTACTTCTTGTGCTGTGACAGCCAGGAATGACTGGAGCCCTTGTAGTACACTGGCACTCTCCTTGTCATGATGCCACATGCAATGATTTGGGTGGACTGGCTAGAGAACTGAACCTGCAATCCAGCATCACTTCCATCTTGACTATGGGTGATTCTGCATTGGCTTTTCCCTCCCTTGTTTTATCAAAGGTGCAGCTCAAAATCACATTCAAATACCCTGGGACATTCAGTCACCCCTGAATGGCCATAAATCTATACAGAAGGTACCATAAAACCTGATGATCAAAGAAAGTGAAAGCAGCATGTAATACAGAGGGCAATTTCTGTTCCAATGTGGGTTTGGTAAAACAACGGAGAGAAAAGCCAATGCAGAATCACCTTATGTTTTCATTTAAGGGACTCAGTTGTTCCATAGAGTTCCCAGAAGTCCTCTAACGGAGTAACTCCTGAGAAATAATTATGTAATAAACAAATTTACGAATTAATGTTGAATATTTACCACGATGATGATCACCACCTTTTGGATTATTAGAATCAGAGCATCATGAAGAGCATAAAAATTCCATCAGATAGTTGTACTTCACTAGATACCCTTGCATTTATTTGTGCTGTTACAGGAGACCCAAATTTCAACAGGGTCTTTATATGCTATTCCATTTACAGTATTTATTTGCTTCCATATATATATATATATGTATTCAAAATTTACTTTTGCTTGCCAAGATGTTATGTCAGTCTTTGTGTCTGATTCTTGCTTGACTAATTCTTCAAGGCGTTTTTTATTTTGCATTATTGCCTCCTCTATATTTTTTATCTTGAAACATAAATCACCATAAACAGCTTCAACTTCTTTTAACTCATTCCTAAAAAGGAGCAAAAATCAAACCATTCATCTATCTGGGTATTTAGAATTGATTGAAAACATATTCATTAACATAATAACAGCTCTTAAGCCTAACAGAGTCATCTGATTCTAGTCAGGCATTTAACTAAATTCATCTCCTAGTATAAGAATACTGAACTTTCTTGTTTTAACTGCTAATACAGTGTGTGTTTGTTTGTTTTTATTTATTTATTAGATTCTTTAGTCACTGCTCACTCGAAGGGTCTCATGGCAACTTACAACATTAAGAGCAATAAGATAAAAAACATAAAAGCAAATAACAAGTATAAAATATTAACATTAAAATATTAAAAGACATGGCTATCACCTTACACTATTCAAACAGGCCAAACATGTGGTTACTCTCCAAACGCCAACCTAAACAATTCAGCTTTGCATGCCCTGCAGAAAATAAACAAGTCCAGGAGTACACAGGTGTCATCAGAGTACATTCCACAGGGTAGGGGCCACAACTGAGAAGGCCCTTCCTCTGGTGACAGCAAGCCAACCTGGGGCCAGGCACCTACAAGAGGCCCCTAGATGATGACCAAAGGGAGTGCAAGGGTTGTAACAGAAGAGTCGATCCTGTAGGTATGAGGGTCCCAGGCCATTAAGACCTTTAAAGGTTAACACCACCACCTTTAATTGTATCTGGAGACTAATTGGTAGACAGTGCAGCTGCCACAGAATTGAAGTAATATGAGCTGACCATGATGTTCCAGTAAGCAACCTGGCAACTGCATTCTGGACCACCTGCAGTTTCCAAAGCATTTTTAAGGGTAGGCCTACATAGAGCGAATTGCAGTAGTCCAGTCTGGAGGTGATCACTCCATGGATCAATGTGGCAACATCTCATACAGACAAGAACCAGTTGGTGGGCCTGGCATAAGTGAAAAAATGCTGACCATGCTGCGACAGACACTTGTTTATTCAATGATAACACAGAATCCAACCACATCCTGAGGCTCTTTACAGAGTTTACAGCTGTCAACTGGACACCATCAAGTCTCAGGAGTGACCCCGCAGCTAGCATCTCAGTCCTTCCCAGTCACATGACCTCCACCTCAGCCAGCTTCCCCTTAACCACTGGACTACCACATCGAAGGACTGGGATAATGCTGACAGCCCTGCCGCCAGGTGCTTATCCAGCAGGAGAAAGGGCTGAGTGTCATCAGCATATTGATAGCACCCAACTCCAAACCTCCTGGCAATCTCGTCAAGAGGGTACATATATATATGTTAAATAAAATCAGAGAGAGTATCACCCTGTATGGTACCTCACAATTCAGGTCTCATCAGGAAGACCTCTCCTTTCCAATAGCAACCCTCTGAGAGCATTCCTGGAGGAATGAGAACCAACCAAAGGGCAGTGCCCCTTATGCCCAGGGAAGAAAGGAGGTTGATCAGGATCAAATGGTTAACTGTACTGAAGGCTGCAGATAGATCCAGAAGGATCTACAGGGCTGGTATGACTATCCAGATTTAAACAGAGTTCATCAACCAAAGCAACCAGTGCTGCCCGAAGCCTGACTGAAAAGTGTCCAGGGCAGATGTCTCATACAGGAAAACCTGGAGCTGCTCGGCCACTGCTCACTCAATTACCTTCCCCAGCAAAGGTAGAGTAGACATTGGGTGGTAATTGGCCAGATCTTTTTTTAATCTTAGGAGCGTTTCTTTGGCAAAGGTCTAAGAATCGCCTCCTTAAGGGAGCTGCAGAAACAGCCCTGTAAGAGAGACAAATTCATAATCTGTCTCAAAGGGCCACTCACCACTGTGTGGCATGGCTAGCCACGAGGGACAAGGATCCAAGGAGCAGGTAGTTGGCTTCACAGCTTTCAGGATCCTGTCAACATCCACAAGGGTGAGCAGGCCAAAATAGTCCAAAAAAGAACCAGAAGGTGCAAGCAAAGCCCCCATCTCACTACTGTTTTCAAATTCAGCAGCCAATTCCAGGTGGAGCTTAGAGACGCTTATCCGTTAAAAAGTGTGCAATTAATCACAGCTGAGAGCCAAATTAGTTTTAGGACACACCAAAGGATTGTTGAACCAATCTAAATAATTGAGCTGGTTGTGAGCTATTAGATGCAATGGAGGCAAAGAAATAATTTCTTTTTGCCACTTTCACTGCCACCTCATAGGCTTTCAACTGGGCTCTATAGTGTGTTCTCACAGCTTTGTCTTGTGTTTGTCACAAATTCTGCTCTAGCTTTCTGAGCAGCCTCTTAAAAGACTCTTATTATACCAAGGAGCCACAGAGACACGAGGGCACAGAGGGCATCAGGGATCAATTTGAGCAATAGCTTCCTGAAGACCTCTAGTCCAAATCTCAGTCAGCTCATCAACTGAACTGCAGGCAGGCCCAGATAAATCCTGCAGAGCATTTTGGAAACCATCAGGTTCCATTTGTCTCTGCGGGCAAGCATAAATACACTCATTGCCCCTGCAGGGGAGAATGGCCACCCCCAAACTGACCCTTATGAGGAAGTGGTCTGACCATGGCACCGGTTCACAAACAGCTGCACTATTCAGATCAAGCTCTGTGCAAAAGATAAAATCTAGCATGCAGCCTGCTTAATGCATATGGGTTGGTACAACCTGAGAGAGTCCTAGCATTGCCATGGCAGCCATGAAGTTTGAGACTGTATGAAGTAAGGAAGTCTCTGCATGGACGTCAAAGTCCCCCAAGACCAACAGTCTAGGGAAACACAGCGTCCACTCAGCTACTGCCAGCATAGTTTATTTAATTCAGTACATAACCAGCACATTTCAGTTAAAACAATTTTAAGAGCACAATCGTTGAGATTTAAAACATATATAGATTATTTAAAAATCTATATAAATTACACAAGTAAGAATCACCATAGATCTAAAATACCATGTGATACAAATTCATAAACACAGGATACATCTAATGTAGCCTCAGAAGGGAGTCTGCTGGTGAGCTGAGCAAATGGTACACCAGCAGGACTCCCACCCTCTCTCCGACACCTCAAACCAGTCCAATGTATTCAAGGCCAGTGAGGTTTGGTGCAGGGAAAACAGTCTCAGATGAGGATTGCTACTCCCCCTATCCCTCAGTTCGATTTTGATGGAGGACTGAGTACCCTGAGGGAGTAAGCCCAGTGAGGGGAACTACCTCATACTTACCTACTCAGGTCTTGGTCAAGTACGTCAGGTCAAAGCATCTCTCCAGGATAGTCTCCTGGAGAATTGTTGTCTTATTTCTTACTGACCTGGCATTACACAGCATCAAGGTTGAAGAGAAAGGAATTAACTGAACCTGTACACTGTCATTCCTTGGGATGGGACAGAGATTAGAAGGGGTTCAAAGATATTCCTTGGGATGGGACAGAGATTAGAAGAGGTTCAAAGATTTCCATATATCATCACCCTTCATGAAACAAATCTCCTTCCACAACTATGCACAGAGCCCCTCATCTTACAGGAATAGTACAGCCAGCAATGTGCACCTAAGCATGTTTATTAATAAAAAAAGTCCAACTGAATCCAGGTAGCTTTATTCTCTCTAGTAAGTAAAATTAGAACTGTAGTCTTAGCCCTTCTTCAACTAGTGGCATGCTTGTATCAACAATCAATCAGCATAATCAGGGACCACTTAAACCAGTGACCTGCATGCTGTGGTGGCCACTGATGGGTAGGATGAACTTACAAGACAAAAGAAAATGTGAACTACAGGAAGCATATTGAGCTGGCCTCCTATAAATGTAAACAAGTTGCTTTGCATGTTTTATAACAAAAATCAGTAGACAGAAACTTCCAAAACTTTTCTAAGGCCACAAAATATCTGCCAGCTCTTTAATAAAGCTTAAATGATAGGTGTGAGATGGTCATTAATAATTTCAGATGATTTATTTAATATTTATAATACATATACCCTGCTTTGGCATAGGGCTCTAAGCAGCTTCCTATCCAGACTGTTAATCATGTTCACTCCTACTTAGCTTCAGTAATGTATTAGCTCATGATGTTCTTTTACTATTCTCTGCCCCTTTCCTGAAATATTGGAATATTTGTAAGTGCTAGTTCTTCTCATGGCCTGGCAACAGCGATAGTATGAGAGCCATGGAATCCTAGTTACTGCCCTATGAAAGTGTTTACATTCACCCCAGCTGTAAATGTGCAGCCCAAGTAAATCAATGTTAAACATTTAAATTAGTTTTCTCTTCTTACAAAATTCAACGGTCTTTTATTAGCAACCAAACTGCTAACATGAGGTGCAGATTATAAAACTGTCTACACAATATCTTAATATATATTTTACTATAATGTAGTTGAAACAAAAAATGACTCTTTTCTGGGAAAATTCTAGATGATTAGCATTCTGAATCAGAGCACTAATCACTCAAAATGTATATGGCGGGATACAGATTCCAGTGCCAGGTACTCCTAATCCTTCGTGATCTAACAAAATAAGCACAGATGGCACAGCCAAACCCTCACAAAGAAGTCTCTTCTCTGAGGTACTTCCTATTGCATTTCCAGTTCAGCATTAACTACTTGCAGCAAGATCTGAAAGCATCCATTGAAAGGATACAAAATTTAAAAAACAACTAAAATGCACTTACTCAGTACGGTTCAACAACATCTCAGCTGCCCTTCTTTTCTGATACATGGATATTCTTTCTTGTTCATACTCTTCTGTGATTTTTTGATGCAAGTCTCTAACATCCAGAAGTTTCTGATGAACATTATCATATCTAATTTTTGTCTTTAAAAGAAGTATATAAATTATGTTGACAATGAAAAGACAGATAGCACAATTAGATGTAGTGTTACATCTTTTATATATTTAAATTCTTTTGCATTTTTCTATGCTGTATTAAAAGAGGAAAGAAGTTAAACTTCTAAATCCCTGTTTGCTACTGGGCATGCTCACAAGTATGTTAGGTTCTCAACTAAATTTGTCTTAAAAGACTTGTATACCACTGTATAGCCAAGCTATATAGCTTACAATACTTGTCTTACAATTGAGTTATAAAAATAATAGGTTGATAAAGCTGAAAACAGAGATAGTGATTTAATTACTTAAAACTACTTTGGGTTGTACAGTTTAACATTGTTACATAAAGTTGTATTGTTTTGGTCAAACCTACAAACCATTTTTTTTGGCAATATCTGCTTTTGCTTTCAATAAATGATCACATTTTTGTTTCTGATCTTGTGAGTTCTGCTGTAATTTGTATGTGTTCAGATGTATGTTCTAGTACTTTGACAAAGCTCCAAACAGGAATTCTGAAGGGACATGTGTCAAGTCAATTGACAAAATTAATAATATCTATTGATTTACCTCATTATATGCCTTTTTAATTTCTTCCATACGATTATCTTCATAACTCAGCTTTTCTCCCAGCAGAGGGCTGTATTTCTTCATGAAGTCTATGTTCTCCTGAATTTTTTCATTGGCAACCTCTATTTTTGTCAATTGATTTACTGCATCCTGCAGTTGTTGATTTTTATCCTCAAAATGCAATTGTAATTCTATAATATCTTGAGAACAATTCTCCCATTCTGCAGAAGAAAAATTTCTAGCTATACATCAAATTACATTTTTGTCAAATACAGATTAAATATATACAATGGTACATATTATGAAGTGTAGACACAAACACAGAAAAAATGGATTCATATCATGTGTCATTAAGATGACTGGACAATCAAGCATAAAGTTGTTTTCATTGGTTTTGATGGGTAGTCAAAGCTATCAGATGATGTATCCTTTTGCTAAGGGATCCTCCATGGCAAATATCAAGTATTTAAAAAAGAATACAAGAATTAAAAGAATAGCAAAAGGAGCTAGCTGCGCATTTGTCTTGCCCGTTAACTCACTGCCTTCTAGATTTGAGTCCAGTAGCACCTTAGAGACCAACAAGATTCTCAGGGTATATGTTTTTGAGAGTCAAAGCTCTCTTTGTAAGATACTAGACTCTCAAATAGGGATGGCACGAAATGGTTCACAAACCGAAGTTTGTCACAACATTTGGCTGGTTCATGGTTCATGAACCGATGTTTGTGGAAGGGTGCCTGGCACAAAAGTTTCATGGACTTTGGTGCTGTTTGTGGCAACTTGTGAATGGATATATTTCCAGAGAGACTGTTTCCGCTCAATTATACTGTTTATAATACTACAAGGGAACAGGGGGGTGGAATTCTCCAGCCTTGGAAACACCAACAGAGAGTTCCAAAACTCTCTAAAGCATAAAAGACACTGCTGGCTGCCAATTACAGATTTCCCAGAAAGCTATAAATATGCTCAGCTCAGCTCCACACCCTTTTGTTGGCTGTTTGAATCAGTTACACAGAGAGGAAGGGAACTTGTTATAAAGTCAACTAGCAGACCACATTAATCTATTCTCTCCTGACTGTGAACTCCTCTTCCCTGCTGGGATTTGGGTGTTGGGTGTACTTAGGGCTCTGAGCCACCCTGGACAGGCTTGGGGGGCAGAAACCTATACACACTGCTGTCAGAGTTCTCCTCTCCAGAGAGTGTTAACAATTGCTGGTGTCTCTGGACAGTGCTGCTAATAACTCTTGCCTCTGCAGAGAGCCCCAGGGCCAGGAATGGATCAGGAGCAGCAGGTTCCAAGACCTCTGGTGATGCCATGCTAGGGCCAGGCTCCAGTGGCCTGGCAGGATGGGTTTGGTGAGCAGGGGTGGGGGCCTGTGGTACACAGGGGGTGGAAGACTTCTTCCCCCCATGACAAGCACCCTTCGCATCCACTTTCACCCTCACGGCACACAGAGGTGTTCACACTCAGGAGGGGTGGGAGGGTTAGGGTCAACCGTGGATTTATTTCGAATGCATGGGGAATCGGACACCCAGCCAGCCTGACAGGTGTTTCCTATGTGGAGAAGAATACACTACAGTGTTTCAGCCCTTGAGGAGGACCGTGAGCATTGTGGGCACCAGGCACACTTCCCTTGCTTGCCCAGTGTTGCCAAGTTGTTGTTATAGGGTAACTTTTGAGGAGCCCCTGTTGGAAGTCTCTTGTCATGTTTGCCTTTCTAATGCTGCATCCAGGCCTATAGGCCTGGTGGGGCTTTGGGGGGCTCTGCCCCCTTTCTTAAAGCCACAGCCCCACAAGATTTTCTCACAAAAAAGTTTTAATCATTTTCCTACAGTATTTTAAAGGTGCATGCTCCCATGCTGCCATGATGAGAACACAAAAGACCTGGGAAGTTTTTAAACTGCTCCAGAGACCCAGCAGACTTTCCTCCTGGCTCAAAGGCTCCCTCCAGTCAGTGGCTGCCAAGGTAAAGACCAGGAGCCAGGCAGCCACTGCTCAGTGCTGCCTCCCCCCCACTCAGCTTGCTGCCCAAAAGGAACCTGTTGGTGGGGGAGGCCTGTGGAGGAGGCTTGCATGCCACACTCCTCCTTAGAGGAGCTGGTCTTGCTTACCGATCGAGGCTTTGTCTGGGAGGAGCTGTGTGGTGCAGCACCCCTGCATGACTATCCTTTCTTCAGGACCGTTTGTTCCCCAAATAAAGTGGTGCCCTCTTCTCCTCCCCCCTTTGCCATAACCCTTCTTCTCCCCCCTGCCACCTCCCTCCCTTGCTCTGTGGCCCTGGAAGGGACCTGGAGCTTCTCCGAGCCCTTTCTCACAGGAGCATTCGGGAAAGCTGAGGGTTTTGCGAGGCCAGAGATGGAAAGCTGGGCTTTGGAGTCCTGCACAACAACAACAGCCACCACCTCCTGCCCATAAAGTGAGGTTTGATTTTTTTTTATGTCAGCCCCAGCCTCCTGCTCAAAATTTTCTACCTACGGGCCTGGTTGCATCACTTAAAATGGAAAACTCTTATTTGCACTGGTCTGTTGTGGCTGGGATGCCTGCCAAGCTGTCATTATGGGGTAACTTTGGGGAGTCCCTGTTGGAAGTCTCGACATGCCTGCCTATCTGTCCTTCCAAATCTGCCCTTGGAGAATTGTGGGTGGTCCAGCCAGCCCAACTGGTGTTGTGGGATAACTTTGGGGAGCCCCTGTCAGAAGTCACTTGTCATGTCTGCTTTTCTGTCATTGCATCACTAGTCCCTTAAAATTGAAAACTCTGATTTCCACTGGTTTGGTGTGGCTGAGGTGCCCGCCAAGCTGTCATAATGAGGTAATTTTGGGGAGTCTCTATAGGAAGTCTTGCCATGTCTTTCCTTCCAAATCTGCCTTTGGAGAACTGTGGGTGGCCCAGCCAGCCTTATCGGTGTGTCTTTTCCTCAGCATAATAGAAGTTGCCACAGACTGTGTCAGCCCTAGGAAAGGGGCTCTGGGAGTTGTGGGCACTGGGCACTCTTCCCTTGCTTGTCTGGTGGGGATGGTGTGCTCACCAAGCTGTTGTCATGTGGTAACTTTGGGGAACGCCTGTTGGAAGTTTTGTTATGTATGCCTTTCTGTCATTGTATCACTTTAAATGGAAAATTCTTATTTCCAGTGGCCGGTGGGACTGGGGTGCCTGCCAACCTGTTGTGGGGAAACTGTGGGGAGCCCCTGTTGAAACTCTGGGGATGTCTGCCTTTCTGTCCTTCAGAATCTGCCTTTGGAGACTTGGGGGGGAGGCTGCAAGCATAGGGTGGATTGCTTGCCTTGCTTTGAGTGTCTGGCTGGTGGGGTCTGCCCAGGTGAAGCTTCCCTGCGAGTTTTGTGTCACTGGCTTGTTTCTGAGTTGTTCCATAGACTCCTGGCTGTAAATGCAGCTGTCTTTTCCAAAGAGAGCACTGGGGAAATCTTTTTGGGGGGGTCCATAACAACAACCCCAGAAATGTCATCCACCCCAACTCGCAGAGATTGTAGAAGAACGGGTGGCAGGATGAGGTTCCCTGTGCATTTTATGTGTGTAGCTTGCAGGGGGTCCATTCTATACACTTCTGAACCTGTGCCTGACATTTTCCCCAAATGCACTTTCCTGGCTTGACCTGTTGGGTTTGCAGTGCACAGCGGTAATGATTCTGCTGTGCACATTGCACTGGTTCTGCTGGGCTGCAATATGCCCCCCTTTTCAGTTTCTACTTCAGAGATTCTCAGTGACTTTGATTTCTGTGGTGCTTCTATTGCCCTTGCTCCTTTTTTTGCTGTTTCTTCCCCTCCAGTGAAAACAATGGATGGGAGCACCTTCTTTGGTGGGCCATAACTCAGACCCCATAAATCCAATTGTCACCAAACTTGGAGGGCAGGTAGAGTCAGCTGGAGATCTGCTATGAGTCTGGTGTCTATAGTCTGTAGAGGATCTGTTACATACACTCCGAGTCTTGAACTTCCTGAACTTGTGCCTGTCATTTTCCCAGAAAGCACTTTCCTGGGGTACCTTCTTTTGGGGGGGGGCTGTAATTTGGACCCCATAAATCCAATTGTCATAAAACTTGGAGGGTAGGTAGACAAGAGTCAGCTGTAGATCCCCTGAAAGTCTGGTGTCTCCAGCACACTGGGTGCTCTACCACATCACAAATTTCACAAACAAAACCTGGTATCAAAAAGTTCCCCCAGTCCAGCTTCAATACCAGAAGCAAGAAAAAAAAGGGGGGGGGGGGGGGGGAAAAGAAAGAAGTAGAGCACAGACAGAAAAGGTGTGTCAGGGAGGAAATTTTATCTGTCCTGACACACAAACTGGTTTTTTGTTTAAAAATAGGTTTCCACCTTTTTTACATGTGAGTGCAAGTAGTTGCCTGCCTTTTCCACTTCCCCAGGCTAATAGCAGATGGGATGGGAGTGGATTTGTGTCAAGAGGCACTACTGTTTGAGAGCTTTTACATAAAATTACAAGTGTTACAAAATCTCCAATCCTGAACCAACAGTCCCCCCCCCCAACACAGATAATGTGATCTTTCCTCATTACCTATCTCTTGCATCTCATCTAGTTTGGTTTCTGTGTGTGTATACTACTGGATAGTGAGAAATCTTACCCTCTGTTTTGAATCCCTTTCTAGGTAATCTGCTATCTAGGCGTGCTGCCTACTACTGGAGGCAATCTGTGGCCTCTTCCCTATTTGTACAGCAATGAGTTTTCCTCTGCCCTTTTAGGGCAGTAGGCAGGCTGAAGCTGCCTACTAATCACAGAGGATGGCAAACAGTAGCACAGTGCATCTGTCCCCCTCAGTCTTCCCTGCCTGTATGTCTATGGTCCTTTCTGCACTTGGATCTTATCCCTGGTTTTATCAGAGTTCAACTCGCAACACAATACCTTGCATTTATCCCTGGTTATAGCAGCATCTGTTTATCCCGGGAAAAGTGCGGGGCAAAACCAAGGTGACCTCAATGTAATGTGGAAACAAAAAATACCCCGACATAATTACAGGGGTGAACTCAAGTGTAGTGTAGAATGTAAGTTTGGGGACAGGGTTGAACCAGGATTTAAGGTCTAGTGTGGAAAGGACCAAAGAATACTTTCCCCTGCATGGAGAACTGGCAGGCTGGCAGAGCCTATAGCTTCTCTCTCCATCCTTCCCAGCTTGCAAAGTAGACCAGCGGCCTATAAGGAGGAAGGGTTAGTCATAGTCAATATTCCTATGACAATTTTGCATTGCTTGCT